TTTTCTTTCGACATTGAGGTCTCTTCAAAGTTTGGACAATATCTTTCTGCTTTTAAGTTTTCAATGCGTTCAAAGAAATCATAAGAATGTCACTATCCAAGAACACTTTCCAAATTGTAGTTGATTTCAATGCATCACCTCTTGTCAATTTTTTCAAAGACACTACGACACTAGTCAAACTGTCAGTACCTAAAAGTGCATGTGGTTCCTCTACAAATAATACTTACATTAAAGGAGACAAAGCAGTGTACTAAAAACAATAACACATAAAAAACCATATAAAGTCAAGTAAGAACTCATGAAAACAGCAGCCCAAGTAGCGTGAATTACAAAATGATTTCTTAAGGGAAAACAAATTCCAGCAAGAAAAACATTTTCTTGAAATAGCTTACCTACAAATATATTAAAATAGCATATATGCATGAGCGAGCAAGTGGGTCAGTGGGTGGGCATTTATACTAAAGAGATTAAACTTAGGTAGTCACCTGCAGCAACTCCTTTAGACCCATCTGCTTAGGTTGCCCATTATGAATACTGTGAATAGACAAAATACCAAATGAAAATCCAAGCATTGTGATGAATCATTTGAGCAAGAAAGTTCAATCAAGAAAATATGGTGTACTTCTAGAACAATGGAAAGCCATAATTTAGTAACACCAGAATCATTTTGAACGAAGAAATTGATCCAATCGGATCGTTAATTAATATCATTATGTGTGGCATTGCAATGAAGGCTACAACAATGTACACATGCTTCTTGGTTGCACCACTATGTGGATCATATCTAAACAAATTTCTAATACTATAAATTTCTAAGGCTACATTCTAGTGATATTGGCAATATTTCACTGACATTTCTGTTTTCTTCAAAGAAAAAATAGGCAGCTTACTGCCACCTAATACTATAAATTTCTAAGGCTACGTTCTAGTGATATTGGCAATATTTCACTGACATTTCTGTTTTCTTCAATGAAAAAATAGGCAGCTTACTACCATGGACAGGTATTCCACACCTTCACAAAATTACTTTATGTTTGTCCACTTGTATCTCCCAAAACCTACTCCAATCTCAAAAACAACACCGTATAAAGTACTTCATACAAGCTGGAAACCAAACTCAGTGGCATAAATTTATTCTTTCCCATTGAACCTTTTGCCTTTGCAATACGGCATATGTATGTCTAATAGGTTATTGCATTTATCACCCATCCTTTTGGAACATTTCAAAGGCTTTCATTGAATTTCCCTCCAAAATATCCCAATTCCCAACAATGTTGAAACAAATCAAATGAAAAACCAACAGGCCCGGAGCCTTCAAAACGACGGCTTTGTGTTTAGTTTTATCATACAATCCTTGTACACCTCTACCAATATTTGGGATATTTTTATTAGAGCTCAGCTTTTGTCTAAAATTATTTAATTCAACGACAATAGACTAATTTAATTTTCTTTATAAAATTAGTTTCCAAACCAAAATATCTTGGTTCCTTGAAGTTATAATATTCAATCAAAGTCATTACTTTCAAGGCCAAAATGCAAGTTTCAATTTTTAGCCCTAAAAATCAACTAGAGAAGTATAGGAGAGAAATTGCATACACCAGTGAAGAACCAAAAGCCAGAATCTTAAGTCTCTACCAATGTTCTTCAATGATGATAAAGATATCACTCACCCAACCATGTTACAACTTACAACTAAAGCTGCATCGAAGAGACGATAAAGATTATTCAGAACAATTGATGGGTCAGATCCTCACTTGAGCTGAAAAGAGGATGAAAATAGATCATAATCCAATTGCAGAACCCGTTTTTTATTTGAGAAGAATAGCAAAACCGTTTTACTAGTTAAATCTCCAATAGTATTGTGAATTCTTAAGAATGTTAGTATTTAAAAGCTACAAAGTATAGAGGAGAACAGAATTATAAATAAATACATAAATTGCACACCTCAATGACAACACGCATTCCAGAACGATCACTTTCATCCCTAATATCGTTTATTCCTTCTAAACTCCGTAGAAAAAAGGAAAAAAGTATAAAGAAAAGGGGAAAAAGAAAAGAACTAAAACGAGATAAGAATTAACAACAATGTATGACCTCATTACTTTAATAATTTCATGTGAGTGATACAGCAGTTAGAAGTGCAATGCATCAACACAAAAATGGTGACAAATTTGGAACAAAGAGATAATTCGTGTAACTAGAGATTTCTCGGGAAGATGATAAACAGAGACAAGCAGTATTATTATATGAGGTCAACATGATATCAACAAAATAACTTCGATGAATATAATGGTACTTATTGGATTTAATATAGTCACATATAAAATAAGAATTATAATACTAACAAATGAATTTGGACCCTAAACACATATATGTTAGAATCAAATAACATATATAAAAACCAATCACAAAACTACTTTTTAAAGAAAAATTACAATCCAACACTTTTAAAGGATCATTTGCTACTTGCAAGAATGTCACCTTATTTTCCACAAGTTTGGCTATCTTCTCCACGAGGGCTGATTTGTTGGTTTGGTGAGGGATCTGACTCATTCCCAAAGTATAAAATCACTAAAAAATTAAACTCTTTCATGAGAATCTAAGACTACATGCATATTTAATGCAAACCAGACAAGAAGACCAAGGCAAACCTCCTTTATGATAATTGCACTTCTCTTTGTTCTAGAATCAAGCAATTCAATATCAGTTTTCCCTCTGACCACAATGCGTCCTTTCCCAGTTCGATATGCCTCCAAGATGCTTCACAAAATGAACATTTATCTTGGCAATTTTACTTATTCAGAAAAATGAAACAAAACTGTTTCTACGAACAGAGTAGTATACCCCATGAATTTAGCAGCAAGTATGCAACATAAGACATATCACCACTGCCCATCATCACATTCAATTTGAAGGCATCCCTTTAGTACAACCTATTCAAACGTTATACAGAAACTGGTAAAAACCAAGGAAAGAACTACTACAAGGAGGAGGCTATCCCTTTTTCATCCAAGCTTACTAGAATGAACCATGCTTCAGATAGTGAAGGAATGGTTCCAACTTACCCAAGGTTTCCCATAATCAGTCCTCCAGTTGGAAAATCAGGCCCTGGCATGTATTCCAGCAATTCTTGCAACTGTCACAGGGAAAACCAAATGTCAAATACTCGAAGGAAAAATGAAATGGAAAATAAAGAAAACACAAAAACAAAAATGGGTCGATAGAAAGCGAAGTTCTTTTTAGTTTACTTAAAGGGTTCAAATTATGCCCAATAATTCTAACTTCTGTGGAGAACAGTGATGGCAATGGTAAAGTCATACTTAAACATAACTGTATAGCCAATAATTGAGATTCTTTAATATCAAAGTTTCAAATCATCTTAACAGATAACTCAACTACAGGAGCAACACGAAATTTCTCAAAGACTAACCACTTCCAAAAAAGTTATTGAGCACCGCTAAATGCAAAAAGGAATTGACGGAAGATAAGTGTATATGATGCTACATTAAAGACGTGTAACTGTTGCCTAAACGTATTTGTTTGCCATTAAACCCAAATTGTTAATACTAATCATGGATACACTATTTTATGAAGTTTATATGTAAAATTGATGCGGAATTGATTAGTTTTGTATTTCCTAAAGTGTCATTCAAAAATTCCATTCTGTTTTAGAAAATTTTGTCATTTTCATTAATTTCAATATTTCCAGCAATATTTTCAGTGACATCACGATTTTCATCCTTGGATATAACAAAGGGAATGGTACACTAGATTCATTTCAACTATCTTATAAGTTGATAGAAAAGAAGCAATTTTTCCATGTAGACAAAGACTCAAGTTTACGTCAAAGTCTCTTCCCCAACAATATGTTGTGATATTTCAGTGAGGGATACCTAAATGCTGTCTTTTCTCCAAGTTGTTACATAATGTGTAAAATGTAAGGATAGGATGCAGATCATTGTTTGTCCATAGTCAGGTAGATTTAAACTTGTGGTGTTTACTATTCAAGGAGGCTGGAGTAGGTTGGGTAATTCCACAAGGGTACCCTTCATTAGTTAGTGAAAGTCTTGCTGCTTTTGGTAGAGGAAATAAGGCTCGGGTCTTATAGGGTTGTTGCAAGATGGCTGTTTTGTGGGTGATCTGGATGAAGAGGAATAAGGGGATGGGGATAGAAGAGCTGTGGGAGAGGGTGATGTTTTTGTCATCCCTTTGGGCTTCACTTACATCAGATTTCAGGGATCTTTTGCTTTCTATTTTGCTAAATTGGGAGTCATCTATAGGATAATGTGGTTTTGTAGGTTTCGTTTGTTTTTTTTGTAATCATTTGTAGTTTGTTTTTGGTGGAATTCTTGTTCACTATCCCTTGTCTATGTTAGATTATGTTTTAATAAACTTTGTTTCTTTTCAACCCAAAAAACGAGATAGGGCTGAAGGCGCCATTTTGGGGGGGAACTGAGGATTTCATAGAGATAGGGCTAAAAAGGGTTATGATCGTGGCTGTTATCTTTTTTTTCTCTTTTAAATAATTAAAAAGAACAGTTAGAAATTAAAGTGCAGGAATATGTGTCAACAAATTAGAAAGATAACAGAAAGCAGGAAAATTAGACGAGTCCAAATTTGCATTGTTTCCTTTTCCCTTTTCCCTATGTCCACCCTGTTTTCTCCAATTGGGACTGATGATGGATACTAATATGACTAATGGAGCTGGCTTTCTCCAGACAGTAATTGTTAAAACCGAACCAAACAAGGAAAGGGATACAATATTGGATGCTGAGGTCAGTGTTAAAGATAGTTGTGCTAGCTTGTTGGCCATTCTAGAGATATGCGTAAAGGAAGTGTTAGGCAAAAGCGCAAGGATCGCTTTGCAGTCCTCCACCAAAGCACCAATTGAGGAAGTATGCCCGAACTTATGCATTAGTTTCAATTTGTCACCTGAAAAAAAAATTTAAGAGAAATGTCACCTGAATTATTCAAAATCTATAAT